AGATTCTTCGAATGTTTTCAATTTTTCTTTCTTAAAAAATGTTTTTAAAATTAAAAACCAATTTTTCTTACTCAGCTCGATGCGCTCTATCCATCCATGTATAAATAAACGAAAAAAACCTTTTGTTAGAACTTTGAATTTCCGGCCCCTTGTATTGTATTCAGATTGAATTTGAAAAAGAATTCAAAACGCATCACTCTACTCATTGTTATCTGTTACTCTCGCTGTTACTATTTTTTAAATAAAGATATATAAAAATGAAATAAAAATTGGCACACATCGTATATAGAATTTCTTTTTATAAACTATCTGTGTCATAATACATAGCGCACATAGTCCATAAAAAGAGAATAAAAATAATTCTTGGACTTAATACCAATGGAGCTGTAAGTTTTTTAAGTTAGATTTCAAAAAACTTCAAAAATTCTTCTTCAAAAAAACTGCCAAAAATACTTCAAAACATATGTAATGTGACATACATTGTGTGGTCAAGTTATATCTATATGATACGAAAGAAGAAAACATGGAAAAAAAGACAACGGATTACTTTGATCAATTTTGTTCCTCATCTTATCTTTTCGCTCATATAAAGATCAAGGAGTATATCAGTAAATTCATGTCTCCTTTCTCATAAAACGTTTACTCTATGAAGACTAATGTTAGACCATACCGACTTTATACAACGCATTTGTTCAACAGCTACGCTAGGAAAAATGTTCATCATGTACTCGAGTATTTTTTCGAGTAATCAATAAAAAAATCTCAGGTATTGTAAAATTTGTACCTGAAAAGCTATTATTTGATTGATGTGGTTTTAGTTTTAGAATGAATGTTTTTCCATATACTAGAGACGTAGAACATTCTAATGGAAACACTGTCTTGTTATTTATGAGATGTGATGGTAACAAGCGTTGATTAGGAATGTATGAATATATTTAACCACCATTATAGTAAAACTGTGATTTCATCATATATCTCACAGCTGTATTTACCTGCTAAAATTGATCAACGAATAGACTCAGATGTTTTTATGCTCATTCAACGACGTTCGTCCGATTCTTTTCTCGTCTAATAAGTCGCTGAATAAACGATTTAGAAAACATTAGCTTTGTTATTATATGCTCAAGCATCTATTAGTCTGATCAAGTGAATGCACACACACAAACAATACACGTTCTCTCTCTTATTCTTTTATATTTTCATATTTCAAAAAATTATAACAGGTATTAAAAGATTTTTGTTGTTTGATGAATATATTTACACACATATGCATATATAATAATAACAGAAATTTTTTTTCTATCTCCTGTCGAGTATATGAATTCTTCTCTAATCTAAAAGACGACAAAAAACTGAAGATAAATAGACTTGTCTTTAAAATAATCGGTTGTTAAGAGACGTTGAAACACGATTTGTACCTGGCACAATTTGCCAAACGCGTATAGAAAATGTTCATTTGATTGTAAAATCAGTTTTTATTTTATTTTCTTCTCAATATTTGTATGTTATAATTATACAATGAGATCATGAAAAACTCGCATTCACGATGAATCGAATTATTTTTTACTTTTTCGTTATGCAACATAACTTCACACTGGCTATAGACTTGCCATGTCTATCTTTTCTCTCACTAGTTCAGGCCACCGTATAGATCATATTGCCTCGCGACTCGCTCTCATGTCCCTCCTATCAGCACACATCTGTAGAAGGTGTCTATCTGGTAAAATGTCACAGTGTCAAGCAGTTATAAGTAATAAAAGCAGCAAAATATAGAGAATTCGCAAACACATCATATACATCAAGACACATTATTATCATCATTGCATACCGAAATGAATTCTCACCAAATGTGAATTCATTTTATAGAAAATCAAATTGTCAGCGAACGTGTATTTTCCAAGTTATGCATACTATACGCTTATTGAAAGAAGAATCACCACTGATGTCAACGCCATAGCTAAGGCTAAAATCAGATGACAGATTAGAAAAGTGTCTTTATCAGAGAAACAGAGAGACCGAATTGAAAAAAACAATAATAATACTGAATTAAATAAGTTTTTTACTAAAAATTATACTGAAAAATCACAAGAAATTAACCGATGTAGAATACCTTAATAAGATTGAGCGTGTGACTTTAACTTGAGCTGATTAGAAACAGTAAAATCACCCAGGAATTTGTTTAAGTTTTGTCAAAATTAATGTCGTATTTCTAATGTGCAGAAAAATAGATCGTTTACGCTTAGGTTTGTTTGTATCATGCTTAGTGTGCCGATGAATTCGATATTTTTAACAATTAGCTATCTATACATTTGTAGTTTAAATATATCAATAGATTAGAATAAACAAAATGAAAGAAAAACAACGAAAAATAACCGAATAGTGAAAAAAAATAAGCTCACATGCGTCAATTAACATAGAAAAAAAAACATTTATTCTAAAATAAAAATAGAGAAATGTAGATATCTATAACAATAATTTGTTTAAAATAGATGCTGATGAAGATGTCATTGGAGCTTGTGATGATGATAACTGTACTTGTGTGGAAAGAGGTGTCGAAGAATTTAATTGATTTGTTCGAACCATAAATGTTTTATTTGTTGTCATATGACCAAAATGTTCTTTAAGTAATACCTGCAAACGTTGACGATTTCCTACATAAAATACAAAAAAGTTTAAATCAAAGAGGAAAACTTTGACAATTGTTTCAAATTCGATTCAAAGAAATCAATCAATTACTGTTATTTATCTTTTCCTACAACATAACTAAGAATAATTTCCTCTTGCAATGACTAAGCAAAACCTAAGGAGCTTTCATTTGAAATTGACGTCTAAAACAGTACATGATAAAACTCTTGGATGTGTCTGGACCCAGATGTAGTACTTTATTTTTGTAAAAAAAAATGTAAATGAATTATATACACACCGTCTAACAAATCGAGATAAAATTTGAGTTGAAATGAGTGTGCTGGTTGCGTTTTTCCAAATAGATTAACAAACTAACGAGAGAAAGAAATAAGATGCATGGAATGAAATGATAATAATACTCGAGATGATAGGTTATTTCTTACTAAATTAAAGCTTTTGAACGCTCTATCGATATCTCCGACAGTGGCATAAATGACTGCTATATTATAATAAACAATTGCTTGACCAACACGTGCTTCTCTCGGTAGCCAAGAAAATAACTCAACTAAAACAAATAACAATACATAGAAAATAAGCAACCGTATAAAGAAAAAATTAACTACCTTTTGCTTCCGGTAATGATTCTTGTGACTCTAATTTCTCTTCTAGAACAGAAAAATACGATTTAATGCAACGTAATTGACGTTTTCTGAAAAGAACTGAGTAACACGCGCAATTTGTCACACTACGAATAGTGCAGGAAAGAAGTGAATAGTTTTTTAGAAAAAAGATTTTACATTCAGTGGTATTCAGTTTGTTGTGTATGTTAGTGCATACCTTTATCAATTATATTTGAAGATGTTAATGGTATTTTGAATGATAAATCTTGATCTGTTTTAACTAACTCTGGATCTAATTGTGCTAATGATTGATCAATCTTATTCAATACTAGTAAACTTTCGGCTAGATATAATCGAGCCAAATATCTAAATAAAATAAATAAAAAATAAGTTAAAAACTATCTTACAGCGTAGAGATGAGCGAATATGAGTCACAACTGGAACTCACTGTCGAGTCAGTGATGTGGAACTTTCAATGACTATAAAAGTGTTTTTTATGTTTGTTATATACAAAAATAGACAAAGTTGATAGTTATATAGTGCTCATTTTAGATTAGGATTACCAAAAACAAAAATAAACAAGATACCACGTAGCAACAGAATAAGTTCAACGAATGCTTAAAACAATAAAAGCTGAAAGCCATTATTGAAAAAATGAATTAGTCTGAATTTTACTTTTAGAAAATGACTTGAGTCAATTTTTATGCGACTTAGACTCGAAAGAGTAACGACTTGCCTGTCTCTGTTACAACGCAACTGTATATATAGGAAAATTGAACTATTCTAATTTTCTTACGATACATTAAACTAAAGGGATCTTTGTAGATTCATGTACAATATTATTTCGTCTGTAAATACTTTTGATAATACTCTTCTTCGTTTTCAACAATAATGTAGCTTAAAAAATTTTTAGTTGCGTTACTTATTGATTTGCCAGCGCTTCAAGTTTATTCTGACATTAACTGCTAACACACACACACACAAACATACTTATGTCCCGCTGATGCTCTTGTCTCTTTCAACAATGTCGATGAATATGAATAAGCACTTTGATAATCGTTCAAACACAGTGAGACATAGGCTGATGCCGTTAATATCGAACATCTAAATGGAGAAATTGTATTATGAATTGATTGTAGTACAGATTTTAACTTACTTCAGACAAATCATTTCTGTTGCTCGAATAGGATTACTAGGCGGTGATGGATACAATTTGACTTCTTCTTTCCTAAATAAACAACGACAAATTACACTAGAAAGATGCGGTACATTTTACTTATTATGTGATTTAGTGATTTGTATATTAGGATATTTTCACTTTTTCACAGAAACATGATATAACTAACTATTTGAAAAGTATTCGCGTTTGTGATATTTAGTGTAAAATGTGATATTCAGAAGAAATGTTATTCTCTAAAGAAAAAAGTATCGTTCTGTTGCTTAAACTATTGTACATACTGTAGATCAGTATCTGTAATATTTGGTATTAGGGCTAAGGCATTTCTCAAACATAATTGGGCAAATTCCATCGAACAACTGACTACAGTGTTATTTGGCAGTGATTGTTGTTGTTGTTGTGGCGGTGGTGTCGAAGAAGATTGTGACGTGTTGTTATTAGTTGTTGTACTGTTACTACTCGTACTTGTGTCTGTTGTTTGTGATATTTGTTTCGAATTTTTATTACAATTTCCTAACACTAATTTATGATATGGTCCCGTACCGATTGTTTTTGATACACATTTTAATTTTTCTTCTAATTTAAATATGTCATCGTTTGATGATTTATAAGCTTGTATACAACACTCGGCTAATCGTAACCATAAACGAATATTTGTATGATATAATCGCACAACTTCAATCAAACATTCAAATGCTGCATAAGGTTCACGTTCAAATAATAATTGCACGCCCAAATTATACAATATATCATATTTACGATTACTACTAAGAGCAATCAAAGGTTTACCACTGATACCATTACCTAATAAGACAAAAAAAAAGAAATAATTTAATATTTCTTCAAATAAATTAACGAAATATGAAGAGCTTCGCCTATGTGATACTTTATTAATAGATCGAGAAATCTTGTCTAACCTACTTTGAACTTTATTCAATTCCATAAGTACACGATTATTTTCCGTTAACGCTTTTCTAAAATAGAATGCTCCAAAACAATATTTCCTCATATAATAATGAATACATCCTAAATTATTATAAAATACGGTTTGTAAACTAACACCAATCTCTAACAATGTCTTTTCATTATGATTTATCTGTGTGGTAATAATTTTCAATGAACGCTGGTAATTTTCTTTTAAATATTCAAAATTAGCACGAAGATAAGATAATATAGGAGATGACTAAATAAAAAAAGAATAATTGACGATGTGTAAAGGAAGAAGAGGGAGTCTTTCTCATACCATATTCAATGTTGATAATTGTTTTAGTTCTTTTCTACATACACGCAACGATTTTAACATTAGAAAACAACGAATTTTGTACTAAACATAAACAAAATTTAAGATATTTTTGCAATTATTCAAAAGTGTCCAAAAATTGATGCGCTTACCAAACTTATTTTCATTTTGATGTGTTCAAATTTTTCTTCTCTAAAATTGAGATTGATCTGCTGTGGTTGTACTACTGGATCTTGTTGACTATTTGTTTCAGCTGAACTATTCTCTAACGTTGGTGGATTCAAACGATAATTTAAATTTTTCTCAGCATGCATCAAAACAGCTAGAGCATTTTCGGGCTAAAATAACATATCAAAATTATTTATTAGAAAATCTACAATAAAATTATGTGGTTAAAGAAAAGAATTACAGAGAATTTTGAAGATTATTGAATACACTAGAATATCTGACGGTAGAACTTTCTTAAAAAATCGACTCATTCTCTACATACTTGAAATGTGCATAAATCCAATTCGATAAGTAACATACAGATTTTCCATGATAAACTTTCTTCTAGAAAAAATAAAATAAGAAATTATCATAGAAACAATATTACTGCTGGCAAACGATATAAAAAATATTACCTGTAGGTTCCATAAATCGAAATAGTTTTTCTGTTATCGTTAATGCTTCTTTATATTGTTTCATGTGATACAGGATCACTGCAGTTGAATAAAATATTGCACAATGATCTGTATCTTCTAATGTTTCAACAACATCTAAATTACATCGAAGCTAAACACACAGAGAAAATGGCTATTAGCAAGAGTAGAGAATTTGAAAATTTAAATAAATTTACTTTATCAGCTATCTTTTGTAGACTTGAACGAAATTGATCAGTTTTTTGGAATCCAGATAGTGAATATTCGGTTAAAGCTATATTAAATAATACTTTTGGATCATCCGGACACGATTCTAGTAATTTATTTAACGTTTTCAAACAAGCTAAAATAAACTTTTCTTTGGATAAACAAAAATAGTCACTTTTTTCAGTTACACAACGTACATTCATACATTCCCTTTTCATATTCTTGTTTTGCTTTTAATGCAAAGTCTTTTTCTTGATCAGAAAATACGAAATGTTGGTCTGTATTTGTATATGCTGTAGTATCGTCAAATGAGGTCGAAATATTCATTGTAAGTTGTAAATAATTGATAAAGTGGTAAAATAAGCGATAAATAAAACGATTACAAACGAAATAGACGTAACTGTGTATAAAGAACTTGTAGTTTAGTTGCTAGTTATCTAAATAAGAATGAAAAAATCATGTTCTACCATTTTGGAGGAAATCATCGTAACAGAAAAATAAGCTTATCACATATATTGTGCAGCTATATGAAGACTTCATTTTCAAAAATTTGAAATTTTCGCTAACCAACTGTCAAATGAGGATACTCGTCAATTCTGTAACTGTCCATTTGAGAGACATCATCCTTTCTTGAAGAGCGTATATAATCAGATTTTACAGAAATATGGACTTGTATACTCTGTTTTGAAATTGTATAAAGTGTATAAGTCCCAGATAAAAGAGTGAATACGCCTGTTTTTTTTTAGTAACAATTCGTTACTAAAAAACTTTTTCAAAAAACAAGGACACATATATATAATCACGAAATTCATAGAGAAAAATCTCAATAAAAAATTATTTTCTAACTGTCCACGTATATATGTCAAGTTTAACAAAAAAGAAAATATATGACAAACGAAAATAAATCTGATTCTATACAAATATCTAAATCGTGTTCACTGATGTTTTCAACTATTCGTTCATCATGTACATTTTAAACGGGCGTTATTTCTTGCTCTTCATGCATTTTTACATGATCATCACAAACTCATGCTAAATTTCATTCGACAGATATTAAACATCTATTATGAACAACGTTCACCATCTTACACCGAATCGTAATATTCAACTTGTTGATAACATTAGATTGATCTTTTTGTAGTGGATCTTTGTCGAACACAGTTCAATATGAGAATTTGTACTGGAAATAGAGAAAAGACCAAAGACCATTCTCATTAATCACACACCGATAATCTTAGTTTAGTTTAAACTGTATTTATTTAAGTTAATCTTACTCTTTTATATTATCGCTTAGTAATAGTTGTACATTTAACAAACTATCCAATGTGTCAATCACCAATCGTGAACGGCTCTCCGTCTGCATACGATTTGACTCACCAAATCTACGTTCATATTTGGCAGAATGATTAGGAGCAATGAGAAACACATTTAATAACACGAAAAAATTTTGATCGTCTTCATTAAAGTTGCTGTTTATTCTTTGATGTAATTTAACAAATAATTTTCAAATATTTTCCTTGAACGTATTTCATTACTAATATCCATGAAATGTATCATGAATGGGTTAAGTAATTCTCATTCTACAACAGAGGATACAATATGATTTACATGCGTGTTTTTTAGATTTTTTTTACTTACAGTGATAAAAGCGGTGTGTTAGAAGTAAAGTGCCTGAATAGTTTCTGAAGAAAATTAAGAGATGCTCCACAAACTCTATTTATGCTACCCACTTCACTTGCGAAAAAAAATTGTGTCTCTTGTGCACGCACAAATTACTTAGTTATCTTTAGGGTGGAGAAAATCAGTCAAAGATTATGCTTGATTACGCTATGGAGGAGAGAGTAAAATGAATGATAATCTAATCAAAAGCATCGCACGAAAGTATATACCTAAATTTTGAAACACAAATAACAACAATTGAAAATTACTTCATTTGACCATAATTATAAATATTAAGGATGAAAACAAAGTACAAGTAGTAACTAAAAGGAATACCACCACATCCATTATTTACACTTTAGTCAACCTTTTAGCCTCAAATCTTGCTGAGGATTTGAGTGTTGAACAGTGGTATTTTTCTTTTGTTGTAACTATCTTTTTCAAGTATTGACAATAATCCAAGTTAAATGTACAATTTTTGTATGCGTAAGCCTGTTAAACTAAAAACAAGTTAAAAGCACCATTTTGGTTTGATAAAAATACTACTAGAATCAGCGTTTTTGATGCGAATTAGTGTCAGAATGCAGTCTGTTTCAGAGGTGAACGTGTACGTGTACACTCTTTTCAAAACAAAATGTATCAATTTTTAAATGTCTCATAATGTCAAAATACAAAGATATTGTGATTCATCTCACTTTTTGGAGAAGTTCAGACATTCAAAGTAAATATCACACAACAAATCCAGAGTAAAAATGAAAAACACATTGGAGCTAAATACTATATCCTTTACATAAACTGGCAAAAAAAGAAAATGTAAACTAAAAATTCAGTGTGCAGTGTACATTTTTTTTCTCACACGGTGTAAAAGAGTGTGTAAATTTAATTTCGTTAGGGTGCTGCACACTCCGTTTTAAAGGGCACAAGTTCCTATTATGATGATTTTTGCGTTTAAGTGTAGGATACTATTACATCTCTTTTTCGGATGCATTTAAACGCCCACAATTTTTTGTTGCCGTTTAAACGTTGACTTTACATCTTCCCATTTAAACTTTCGCAATCCTTTTCTCCGTCTAACCGCAAATAGTTGATTTTTCCCGACTGTTTTTACTTAAATAGCTACAAAAAATATTTACGTTTGACTGAGACTACTTTATCTTTTTGTTGAAATGCTCACTTTCAATAAAGAAGCAAAAAAGTGAGTTATTTTATTTCCATTTAAATGCTCAATTTATTTGACGACGTTTAAATGCAGTTTTATGTTGTTTCCCTTTAAGCGCTTCCTTTTTCGCCTACATTTAGATACAAACAATTGTGAACAGTTATTTTTTTGTCTATTTCTTTTTTATATATATCTTTTATATATATATATTATTTTGGGTTAGTTGAGTGCGCTTGGACTTTCGTACTTTGCCTAGATACAACCGTCTGGGTTAGACTTCACAGACTCTAAGAAGTATATGATTCTGAAGAAATTTCCAAGTACTTTTGGTAGCGGATCGCGACATGTTCGATGTTTGCACAAATTTCGCTCTTTTCTTCCACAGAGGAACATTTTGTGTTTACATTTAAATGCTCTCTTAAAACGTAAATTTTTACCGCAACAATACAAGCTGCCGTTTAAACGTAAACATTTCCTTTTTAATTTACGACACAAATTTTGTTTATGAGCTATGGATGTGAATAAATAAATTAAAAAAAAGACTGCCTATATCGATAGCCCACCTTGCAGACTAATGCACCCCATTTAAAGGACTTTCAGACCCGTTTAAACGCACTTTTTTTCCTTTTGATCTAAGAGCAGAATCAACCCAAAAATTATAGAATATGATTCGTGTATAGCAGAAACGGTAGTGAAAAAAAACAATTAATTCGACAAAAAACTCGCCAATAATGCTCTTGCACACCTATCAACACAGTAGTGATGTATTTTTTCTAATTAAGATACTAATTTTCCAGTCTCCATTATTCCCTAAAAAGAAAAGATTTAAAAACCTAAATGTCAAATTGCCATCATCCATTTTCTTCTTGCAACAGAACAAGAATTCCTCGACGCTCAACTAAGTAGGATATAAAACTACAGGAAACGCATATAGAACTGATAAACTTCTCTTTGTTTAATTTCGCGTTTAAGCGGGAAGACAAAAAAGTACGTTTAAACTAGAGGTGGGCAAGTCAAGTCAAAAATGCCTCAAGTCCAAGTCAAGTCTGACCTGACTTGAGAGATTTTTTTCCGTGATCGCGACCGGAAAGAATTTTCAAGTCAGGTCACTTTCAGTAAGAGATTTTTGTTTAAATTAGGCATTTTTTACCGTGATACAGAGCTTTTGAAACTATAAAAACTGTCTCTCAGTCAAAAGGCGCTAGCAAATTTTATGCTTTGCCTAGTTTTTAACCCAACATGACTTGACTTGGAGGAAAAAGGTCGAGGAATAACTTGGCTTGAAAATCTTTTTAGTGACTTCTGACTTGCCCAGCTCTTGTCGGGTTTAAACGAAATTTTCTCCGTTTTTTTTCGTTTAACGATATTTGTCCTCAAAAGATTTAAAAATGTGCGTTTAATCGCAGGTTTTTCAATTTTCTCGAAAAACCATCGTATCCTACATTTAAATGCAAAAAAGTACCGGAATGGGCTCTCACCAGAAACGCTCACTAGAACAATAAGGAGAATGATAAAATCATACTAGAAAAAACAGAAAGAGTTTTAGTTATTACGTAATCAGTGGATCGATAAATCACTACAGTTGATTATCGTAGAGGGGAAAGTGGTAAACAAATTAATCGAAAAAATTTATTACGTGATATATATAGAAGCACTTTTTACCGTTGGCCATTATATTTAACGTAGACGCCGCCATATCTGTTAAAAGTCTAGCACCATTTATAAATTATTTGATCCCAGAGGCTGATCGATATAGTTTTTATTGTAACAGTAACGTAAGCTAATTTCTAAATCCTGCATCGGCAATACACTGTAGTAAGAGAGATGTCGCATTAGTACAACACAGAAGAAATTGATTCCATAAGCGCTGCTTTAAAAATTGCGGTGTCTTTAACGAAAAAAAAAATATCCAAGACCAGAAATAACAAAAAAATGTGTGTTGTATGCTCTTTGCTGTTTCATTATTATAGTATCAATGTTTTTTGTTCTCTAAAACGGCTAAGAAATTAAATACTAAGACAATTTTCTCAAAATCATTAATAGTATTATATAATTGCCATGCAGTTGTCTAACCATTAGATTTTGAAATGTAGGTTTTTTAAATAGAACTTATTATTTGAATGAAAGACATTATTACATTTGGCAGTTTCTTTACCGACATATCGACGGTATATCATTATTTTTAATTCAGTATAATCATTGTCAATAGATCGGCGCCAGCATCAACAATGTTTTTGTTTGAATCATTTAATGGTGCTTTTTCTTTGCATTTTTCATTTAAATCTGGATGCTTTCTGCACAAATCTCTCATTCTTACTCAATTCATGTTTGACAATCTGATAAATAAAATAAAGTATCCGGCTCAACATCTATGTGATAGCGAGAAGACAAAAAAATACAAGTACAATGTGAACAACAATTATTTAGTTTAGGAATAGCAAATCCAAGTGTTGAAAACTTTCAAAGTCATTCTTTCGTTGTTTTTCACTATGTCAGTGGTTAATTATACCAGTCAAGCAAAATCTAGCGGTAGGATGAACGGAGACGTATAATTCATAGAAACGAAGCACTTTTTTACGAAATACATCTTACTAGGTCATTAAAACAGCGCCGTTAGATCGCCAGCCGTTTTCGTACTATTTTAAAGCCGTTTAACTGGAACCGTTTTAAGGTCATTTTTAAGCCGTTTTACGATCAAAAAACGGTCTGTAAGTGTTTTGTCAGTTTTTAATTATTTTGTTTTTTTTGGTCTTTTGTGAGATTTCTATCACCAATCCTAAGAGTAAGGGCTATCTTTAGTACCAAGTCCAGGAAGAACCACTTCCTCTAGTCAAGTTTATTGACTTGTATATTGATGAAAGGAAAGTTCTATTTTATTCGAAAAAATTAGTGTCATCAATATATATTACGAGTGAAAGCAAAATAAAAGAAATGAATGATTTGTCTATAAAATGGCATAAAAACGATCCATTTACACTTAGAGTGCGATTCAATCCCAGGATCGGGTTCGGGTTGAACTTTTTGCGACGCAAGTTAAAATATAGTTAATAATTTCAAGTTTGTATTACGCTTTGAAAGTTATCTCTATTGGAGTTTTCAGTTGAAATACTTATTCCAGAACAACTGCATCCAGTGACGAGAGAAGGTCTTCAGATGCCCAACTCCGTTTTTAGTGATATTATGCCAGTTAATAGAGGAAAGTGAGCTGATAAAAACCGTAAAAGGATTTGAGTCCATATTACTTCTTCAAAAGTTATGAATTTTTTTGTGCTAAAGGAACACTGTATGTAGTGACAGCAAAAATTGTGTAACCCAGTCAAAACAAAGAATTACGAACTGAAATTTTCTTCTGTACTTGTCCTAATAGTCTGCTAATATTAAAGAAAATTTGAGTTTTATATCTCTCTAAATTTGCCAGTTATTGAACTTTTCTTCTTAAAGGAAAATAACGTTTTCGAAACCGCAAAATTTTCAATGATAACATTTCTTTTGTATTTGTGTGCATTTTTTTCTGTTGAAAACGTTCCGGGACGGAAAGAAATACTACTGTAAATTACAGTATATCATATGAACTTCATTTCACTCCTGTGAACGATCCATTTTTAGACCGTTAATTGACTTTCTTGACACTGACAGCTTATGGGAATGTTAAGGGCATTTTTGGGGATTACCGCTAACGGACCAGTATAAAGAAGAATATTCAAACTACAAAATGATACGTGCCCAACGCCCTATATATTAATTGGTTGAAGAGCAATGACTTTTAGAAAAGGTGACTGACTTTCGCGAAAGTAGTCTTTTTTGTGGGCAAGCTGTGTATAACGATCCATTTACAAAGCACTTTATAGAATCGTTATAAAATATATTGAATAAAAACTATATTTTGAAGTGAGTTTGAAGTGAAAATACATAACTAGCTATATATCAGTACTTTTCTTACAAAAACACAACAGCAACAGAAAAATACAGCATGTATCTGAAAAATGGCAACTCACCATTCACCACGTCATAGATGGTCCCTTACTCTCAGTTTAGTAAGGATATTCACTGAGAAATGTCTCGAATCGATTTCTACGACTGCTGATCGTCCTCTCAAAGTGCTTTCACAAGAAAAACAATTTGAATTAAAGTGAAAGAGAGCTATATACAACAGATAACTTAAAAAATCTACTAAATGATCTTTCACAGATCTACTACTTTTTACACAGTTTATCTTGTTGAGTAACTTCTATTTATGCCCTAAAGAGAAAAACAGATTAATATATTAATTTGATATGGTAACATTTATACTATACACATACGCCTTTAGTGATAAATGCTCAATTTTTTCACTCTGCTCTCGCTCAGTTTTTTGCAATGATTCGTACTCTGATCGTAGTCTGAAAATAAAATAGGAGATATTAATCAACAACCAAAAATAAAGTAAGACATGCAACTAACCTATCTAATTCAATCATTTTTTCTTTAATTAATGCTTGTAATTGTTGTTTTTCAAATTCGCGATATTTTGACACAGATTTTAACATATTTTTAGCACCTATCGACTAAATACGTAGAAAATAGAGAACAAAATGCACGAAGTACTAACAACCCACTTTCAGTCTAGCTTGTTCAACATGTTTCGAATATTCTTCAGTTTTCTCAATTAATGTATCAACAATTTTCTTGAATTCAAGTACATCTAAACAGAAAACCAAAAGACAATGTAAGCAAACCAAAAAATTGAAATTTGACACTTGTTGAGAGCTACATTTGAGTTAAGCAATCTTGTTTTCGGTTTACATAGACGGTTGCTCTGCAAAAATATTACTTTATCTAGTGTAAAGCCAAAACCACTCTGTTGTGAGTCATATAACCTAAAATCATTTTATCGAGTTCTTACTTTCAATAAAATCTTTGCATTCATCTCGTAGTTCTGCTGAATCAGTAACTTTTTCTGGATCAATCAAACGTATCTTATTTTCATCATCAATAAATAAACCGAAAGAGGCAAATGCTTCTTCAACCATGAGATAAATATAATCTAAACCTTTTGTTTAAATTGTTGTTTTCATCACTTATTTTCCAACAGGAAAAGTTCATTCCTAGATGTAGCCATTAAAGACTTCCTATATTATCGCTTCTAAGTAACTAAGAGATATTTCAAAAGAAAATGGATGATTATTTGATTAACGAAATTAAATATTTTCAGAATGAAAAGTTTGTCATTTTTAATGGTTTCTATTCAGCACAACCATCTACATGTCACCACAGTCGGTCTACTACCATTAGCTATCAAAATAAGCAATTTGTTCTCTTCCCGTTGAAAGAAAGTTACCTGCCAATAACAGCTGCTAACAGTAGATAACTTTACAAATACGAGTAGGATAGCTAGCTGCCAGTCTCAAAAATGCGCAGAATGGCGATTTTCATAATTAAAACGCGATGATTATTTTGACTCTGCAGAAGCTTTTTTTGTAACAAAAAACATGATTATTATATATTTAAAATTCATCAATTGTTTTCATTAATGAAATTTTTGTAGTAGTACGATTTATTCACGAAAAGTGGGAGTCATGAAAGACCCCGACTTGTAATAACAACTCTAGTGAATGTACTTGAGCCAAGTACTTGGGTTAAGTAATGAGGACAGTACTTGTAGACTTTTCCAAGTAAATTTACTTGTCAAATAATTGAGAAAGTACTTGACAAGTAAAATGTAAGTACTTGGTTGACACAATGCAAGTAAATTTACTTCAAAAGCTTCAGTCAAATACTTATTCCATTTATCTTCGTTTTGTATTTTGTACGTATTCTGCAGCCATACTTTACCTTTGTGTAGCAAACGGATGCACGGCTACTGAGTTTATTCAATTCAGTAGAACTATATAAGTTTATTTTATAAGTGTATAACGATTGATACTGTGGTGTTCATATACAAGTGCTCAATGCAAAAGAAACGAGTGACTGACTTATCCAAGTGCTTGGCTGAAGCAAGTCAAGCAACGACACTTAGCAAGTTTTTGTTCAACTACTTGCCAAATGCTTAACTTGCCACGTAGTTCCTAAGTACTCATCAAGTAATCAAGTACTTGTACCAAGTGCATCCACTAAGGAATGACTCGAATCAATAAAATAGCAAAGACAAGTTGATAAAAGAAAACTAGAGTAATGGACAGAGACAGATCAAATCAAGAAACAAGACCAAAAAATATCGGAGAAAACGCTTCTACTGGTAAGCGGCGACATATGACTGATAATATGATTGCATTATGGGTATCTGAAACTGTTTTATCGAATCAGTTTTTTTGCTTTTCTATTAAAGTAGGCGGCCATTTTTGACAGCTGCTATGAGCAGTTAAGTTTTTTCAACAGTCATTTCAAGATCAGTTGTAAGTCACACACACTATCTGACTGATGAACAGTTGCTCTTGTTATTTAAAACATCAATCAGAAAAAGACAACATCACGATTTTGAAATCGAAGCATCATTTTTACTCATTACTCACTATGTCTCATACGGCAAAGAACGGAAGGTGTGCTTTTTTAAGATTCTTACATCTTCCCGTCTTGTTGATAAGAATTCAAGGGCAACATGCAATCGACATGCATGCATGCATGAGGAGGAAAACAGTGAAAATTTTTTCATTCTAAATTTCATCAGAAACAGTACATTCATTTTTCATATATTTTTGTTCCCATTTTGACAAAGGTTGTACACTAAGAAAATTTAGTTACTAAGTGATGATTAGCTGCACATTTTCTCTACTGAGATGGCTGATCTATCATTATTACAGTTCGAAAGTAGATTCTAAGATCTAATCGTTTTTGAGCATATTTTGCTCCTCATTCATTTCTTTAAACGAGACATTGCAAATACGAATGCTGGAGCGGCACTGGATGTATCGAAACATGAAAAGTAGTTGATACAGTAGTTATCTACCGAAAGAGGATAGATAAGATTTTTAAAACTATTTGTTCGAACGTGAAATTATAGAATCTCTGAATTAGTCAAAGCACAAACGCTACTAAATTAAACTTTAAAAGAAAAAAAAAGATGAATTTTAATTTTATTTCCTGTTGTGTATCTTCACTAATTACTGTACCTCTAACTGCATAATCATTGTATAAACTGAATTTTTTAGTAGACAACAGACTAATTAGCATAAAAGAAAATATCTCAGTATAATGTACTTGAATGTACTGCATTGTTGTAGTCGTTCGCATCTTATTTTTACTTCTAGATTGAAGATGGAAACTTCTGAAAGCAAACCGAAGAAAATATGTTTATTTCATGATGTCAAATATCGTAATTATATTCAACGAATTTTGAATTTATTGCGTAAAACAGATTTAATCGATCCATCTTATAACTACAATGGTGTTAAAAAAATGATTTGTTCATGCAGCAATCCGTCCATGCAAACAGATCCACTTTTACCACCAACAACTACTATTCAAAATAAAAATAAGAAAACGTCGAAATCCCAATTTGTTACTTATGAAGTGTTCTATTTGTGTACAAAAAAATATCCACAATGGCCAAACGATATTAACTTTATTTTATCGACAAAAATCGAAAAATTGGACGATGCAATAAGTAAAACCAAATTGTATACATTTCTTATAAATTGTATCGAACAAAAAGAACTATCAAAAACACCGGAATTAATCAAAGAAAGAACATATAGTCAAGTAGTTGCGAAACCGAGAGGTCAGTTGAAAAACAAATTCGTTGTTATTTTATTATTTTTTCTCTTTGTTTTAAATACAGACGAATTAGCGATTATTTCAACAACCCCGCCAGTAACAGTTCGTCGACGACGGAAAAAGTTGCCCTGTATAAAAATTACAGAAATACTCGATTATCCCCCATTAAAGATTGGTTATTTAATAGGTGTAAAAGGAAAATGCCATAAACAAATTACTAGTGAAACGCGTACAATTATCCATTTTCATTTACCATATATGAATTTAAACCAGTCAAATCGTTATGAACCACAGTTTGATTTAGACTGTCTCATGTCTCCCGTGACTACAGTCGACATTTATGGACAGTCTCAAATCGATGTACAGCGAGCATATAAACAATTACAACAATTAGTGGAAAAATTAAAATTATATAAAAAACCACCACAAAAACAAAGGGGTAAGCACGAGAAAAGCAAATTTTTTTAATGAAGATAAACTTCATATTATTTACATTAAGAAGTGTATGTAGATTAGAGATACACTGTAAAAAAACAACTGACATGGGACACTTTTTAGAGCGATGAACGGGACACTTTTAAACGTGTCTCACTACAGGATACTGTTGCTCAATTTTCGCGTTGGCAGTGGCTTCAAAAATTCCCATTCATCCCCGAATGAAGTGCCTTGTGGTACTTGTTTTTTTACAATGTGTGCAGGATAACTTTTTGCTGATTTGTAATTCTACCCTACATTTTTAATGCTGATTAGAAAAATGAAGTTTTACAGTAATAGATTAGAAGTTAATTTTAGTCTCAAAGTTAGTTGATAAGCAAAATTGTAACTTTATTTTAATGATAATTTGCTTTTGTTTAATGATGAACGAATGTGAGTGCATGGCACGTTCCGATTTCAGAAAATGCAAAAAAAGTCGCCCCACTTTCCTAGTACCTATCTCTCCCTTGGTGTACTATTAGGTTCTTATCCTTCCAAATGCATATGCATCATCTATCCATGTATATATTTCGACGTCAATCAAGGTTAGATCCAGTCAGTTTATATGGAAATTGTAATTCTTATTCTCACAGTATTGATATATATACACATCTATATCTGTCTGTCTACGTCGACTTCATCCTAGGTCAGGTCAGGTTATGTGGAAATCCAGTTTCATGTATATTTTTTTAGTAAAGTGTGGAACGATGGAGTTTACAACTTTCTTTCTTTTTCCAGTTCTAGAGGTGTCGTGCCTGTCAAAACGTTGGATCGAAATGTATTGTCAAAGGACACATGTCCATAAGAACGCACCGAGAAGCTGTCTCGTAGCTCATTCTCATGCTACTCCTTCCTCCCCCCCCGCCAAGCGAGTGTAGATATAGATATATACCAGTACAGAAACACAGTTCTATTCCACTCTAAACCGCGCTGTGATAAATCAGTTCGTCATGCCACACTTTGTTACAACTTAGCACAATCCTACAAGATCTTACAGAATCTAGTTGCAAGAAAAATCTTGTGAAATATTATAAGATTCTTGAACCAAGATTTTTCTGAAATCTTAGCTCTTATGGTATCTTGTAACATGATGTTACAAGTTCATATCTCAGTATTCTTCGCCCTGGGCTATTCTCACAGTAAGAATTACAATTTCCGCCTAATCTGTCTGAACCTAACCTAGGATGAAGTTGAAATACATATACAGTATACAAAACATACAGAAGGCGAGTTGTGTGGATATTAGAATTTGACATTTAAAATTTGAATTTCTTGTTTATTGTATTATGCCATGCTACAACGAATATTTGTCTTCTAAAGGTCCATTTAAATACGAATGTAATATCTGTCATTTTGTGATTGAACGTCGCACCCGCCATCACCCATCAATGTCTGATTATCCAATACAAAATTATCATCCTGGTCACATTGTTCGTACTCGAGATCGAGGACATCAACGAATAAAATATGTTTGGTCATGTTGTTCGCTCAATGCGAAAAGTGAAGAAGATGATTCTAGATTTAGGCATGAATGTCAAACATGTGAAGACCATGATTTTTCATTGAGTGAATGACATTTACTCTGTAACGTGTTTTGAAGTTTTTTTAATCTTGATTTTCATTTCTTTTGTATTATTTGATTCTTTTTCACGTTGGTCTACAGAAACTGATGTGCATTGAACGAATGTTTTTTGCATTTGTCTTGTTATTTCAAAACAAGATGTGTATAGATAATAGTTAAAAATTGGTCATAACGCTCTTGTCATTAGAAGGTATTCTCGGAATCGTTCCTTCTCCAGGTGATCTCGATGACGTTAGAACATTTAATACACCATAACTAAATCTGATATTTTTCATTCTATTGACAGAAAATCAAGGATTATATAACTAAAAAGATGTCATTTTCAGCTACAGAAAGAGAAATTTGTGCGTGCTCTATTAGTTATGGATTATATTTCCATAAATCGGTGATAATGTTTTCGTTCTCCACCTTGCTTTACGAACATTTGTTGCTGATACTGCACTTACTACTATTCTTACTTCCAACTTCAGACAAGAGTAAAAACACTAAATCGACTCAATGAATGCTACTTACTTCAATATTTCCTGATGTCGACTATAATTCATTCTTTCTTCCACTGTCTTAGTATATCATCGACATTTTTCTTTGCAGCTTTTTAATGCGGTGCGTAAGCGTCTAGTCGTTAAACGCTTCCCTTGGTTCTTCATAATTCACCTTCGTTTCAGGGTTTCTCTGCGGAATTTTCTCAAAGATATGCGGTTTCTTTTCTTTGTTCGAAAAATATTCAGATGATTATATGACCCGGGTCTGATAATAACCGGTTTTGAAATTTTAGAGATGTTGTGTTCCTTTGTTAGAGTTAGGAAAAATTAGAGAAAGTATAAACCATTTAGAGTTTTATTCATAAGAATATTTCTTTGACAGACAGACACAGCAGAGTTCCATACTAGAGATGTGCACGAGTACCGATACCCGACTTGAAAATGTGTTTTCCGCCCGTACCCGACCCAAGAACTTTGTATTCGTACCCGATTTATGCCTAAAAATTTTCTCCCTTTCATTTTCCAGCTAAAACTTTTGTTTTTCGGTTAGAGATGTCCAGTTATCACTAAGTACTCAAATAACTCTTTTGTAAAACTTGATGTATTTTAGCTAAAATCTTGCATTTTTCCACTAAAATTTTGTAGTTTTCCACTAAAACCTTTTGGTTTTCGGGTAAATTAAAACAAAATAGAACCCGTGCCTGACCCGTGCCCGTACCCAACCTCCGGATCGGGTTGCCTATCTCTATTCCATACTGGATGCATGGTGTTATTAATTTCTAAAATAGCTTGATTGAGTCAAAAAAGATAATGAATTTTATAATGCAATGTGGCAATACATCGATGTGGTCGACATTTTGTCAGATAGTTATAGTGGTTAGGTACATTGACGCCTAGTACTCATATAATGAGATCTGTTGATTTTTTCAACCTTAAAGAATATGCTTGCACTTCTCCAAATGCCACATAAACTTTGAGTGAAAATACAACCTCATATGGTCAAATAGAACAGGTTTATGAACTAGATTAACAGAATTTCTTCCATTTTCAGGAATAAAAACTTTTTCTAAGGTACGAAGTATTTTACATATTTCCAGGCGGGGTCGTAATGCAGCCAGGTTAGGCAGATTAATGAAAAAACACATTTTGTATGCAGGTTAGTTTTTTCAGGACATTTGCGTCGATGCTTATATCTCTACGAAAAATCATTGGAAAATTTTGGAAGACGTTTTGTTACCAATAGAACACTTTCTTATATCAGACTATCTATAACAAAACCTGTTGAATGTATCAGAAAGATGGGGAAAATTTACTTTTGAGTTTTTGAGCAAAAAACTTAAAAAATTCATAACTTTTTCTAAGAAGGTCGTTGAATACTGAGAGTGATCTCATTTTGTGACCCAGACTTTTCTCATATTCAATGAAAAACATTGAAACAAATTCATTATGAATATATTTTCGGGTATCCACTACTAACCGCTTAGTTATTTATTGAAAACTAATCAGCAACAACATTTATTTAAAATTCAATAGTTGATATTTGAATGCTGAAGAAGAGTCCTGTGTGAACAGTCGACCGAGTTCAAATAAATATTGTTATTCTTATTGTGAATGCGAGGTGTTCACCCATTTTCTTAGTACACTGGTTCAAACGAATCAATAGATAAAATTGCAGACAGATGTGCTCGATACTGTAGCAATGAACTTTCCCTTTCTGTGTTTTTTTCAATCATTTTTTAAAAGTTATATAAGATAAACACATTTCTCAATTGTTTGGACAGTGCTGTTTATCATCATTTTTTATCTGTTCATAGAGTTTCGATGATTTGAATCGACGCCTAACAACGACTGAAATAGATGATTCGAATTTTCGTTTCTTCTGTTCTCTCAACGTGAAACGAAGCATTTTCTTATAAATCTTAATTGACATTGTACTATCAAATCAGCGTTTACTGTTCATTCAGTTATACTACTTAAGTCTTTGGCAATGTTTGTGTAGCGTTCTAGTTATAATTTATAGAAAACGCTTGGCGATTTTCAAAAAGTCCATATACGAAATCCTCACTGATTTTCCAGATTATAGAAAATCGAATTTCCAATTATGTGGAAAACCCGACATCGATTTTCTGGATTGTTGAGAATTATTTATGGAAAATCCAGTTTCATTTTCCAACTTTCTTGAAAATCGAGCTGAATTTTCTAGACTGTCTGAAGATCAATTTTCTAGAATCTAGAAAATCCTCAGTAATTTATACATGGACTTTTCGAAAACCAATAAGTCGGATTATTTTCTACTTTCTAGGAAATCGCTAAGGATTTTCCAGATGATGAGGAAGAACAGTTTGATGGAGAATGCTGATAATCAGAGACTTACAAAGTGAAAATGGTTGAAGATAAACTTTTTCACCGTTATTTAAAGCTATTGAACTTCGAAATTGAGTGTGGTGTATTATTTCAGTCTATTGAATGGTAATCCAATAAATTGATCTTTTAATAATGAAAACCAAATTCGACATCGATCACGTGTTGAACGACTGTTATTTTATTTAAAAAATAAAGAAAATAAATATGAATTGATAGGATCATGTCTTTGAGTTAATAGACCAAACTACATTTTTGAAAGATGCTAAATTCAGAAATAAAAATGTGGAATATTGGCAAGAGCGATCTTCAGAAAGCTGCAGTGGAACTCAATTTTGTCGTAACAAGTCCTAATCCACCTTTTCAGTACCTCGTTGTGATCTCTAAGTGTCGTACAACAATAATACTTCTCGAAGATTTTGCTGATTAGCAAAAACTGAGAGAACTTTCCGAATCTATTAACATTTCCGATGTTAAATACTAAAATGGACAGAGATGTGTTACAGGATAACTTATTCCAATGAAGGCTTTGATAGATGTGAAAGAAACAAGAAAAAATGACCGATTAGACTTAGAAAATCGCTATCGAATTTCAAGAATCTTGGAATTTATTTATAGAAAATCACCGTCGATTTTCCAACTTTTTAGAAATTCCTTATCAATTTTCTGACAATTGAGAAAAGTCAGTTCATAGAAAATCGAGCGGATTTTCTATGAAGTAGAAAATTAATATTTTCTATACAGTCAGAAAATCGTTGAAGGTTTTGTAAAAGTCGGAAAATCCTTGGCAATTTTCGAGATCGATTTTCTAGAAAATAGAAAATAATTCTAAATTAAAGTATATCTTTTTCAGCTTCTTCATAAGAAAAATATGAACAGCAATCTAAACATTTCAGCTATTATACATCAGGACATGACAGATTATACTAATGAAAATATGTTATATGAACTTTCAGTGGAAATGACATTTTAGATGGAGAAAATAATACCATTGTATTCATCTGTAACTGAATTTTCAGTCAAATTTCTTATCATAATTTTCGTGATAAATAATTTTTCTTCTCTTTCTCTTTTTATCCTTATTTTCTGTTATTTTCTGAGTAAAATAACATGTTCTGTCTTGTTGTATTATAGATGTTTTAGTGCGTAGCGACAACAAAATCATACGTATAGCAGTGTACTGTGACCCACTCTTCTGCAGTGCTTACTCAGTATGCTTGTGTTCTAGTTTTCAATTTGTCTTCTCATTTTAAGAAGAGGACTAAGTCCTCTTGACTTAGATATTAAAAGTACCCCCGTCCCTTTTTTTGACCCTCTTGAAAGCCGGAGAAGCCGGTATTTAATCCGTGTGGAATTTATACCAGAGATAGAACATCGAAAAAGAAAACCGATGTATATTTGTCCAAAATTTTCTGACTTGATGGATTCTCTGGAAAACGTTAGTTTTCACCAGTCACATTATAAACCCTAGAAAAAATGGTCCGATCGAGCACAAAATTTTACCACAGCTATTTAGGACTCTCTCTCAGCTTTGTTTTATTTTTTATTTTCAAAAAATATGCTTTCCCTCTCGAGATATTTGAAAAATGCTCAAAATACTGTGTAAAAAACCTTTATTTTAAAAATCTTCTTACGCCGAAAGTTGAAATCGAAAACACTTAAAAGATCAAATCTGACATAGGTTCTAAAGTATCTCTGGTAAAAATTTCAGCTCGATTGAATCATTTTTTCGAGGAGTCATAATGTGACTGGATTGAAAACACGATCGAAAAGACGCATAGTGAGAAAAACACACAGCTCTGTTTTTCAGACCATCTGCTGTAAAGCCTATATCTCCACGAAAACGCATCAGAAATTTCTGTAACACGTCAGAGCAAATTTTGAATATATATGCAAAGGAGAGAAAAGTTTACGAAACTAAAAAATTGAGAGTTTTTAGGCTTTGGAGAAAAAATTTAAAAACTTCATAGCTTTTTACAAGAAAGATCGTGGCGAGCTGGAAGTTGTCTCATTTTATAGCCCAGACTTTCCACTACATTTTACGTTTAGTTCAAAATGGAATAAAATTTTTACAAGAAAGAAGGGAGCGGGGGCGGGTGTACCGTTAAACCATTTGGAATGTCCAATATCAAGGAAAGCAATCAAACTG